TCATAGACTCATTTTTTTCTTTTTTTAATAGACACGAGTTAGATTCAGACAGACATAGACTTGAATTCTGAGTCTATAACTTATGAACTGTGACTTTTGAACATGTTATTTAAGCTGTCCCACCCTCAACATTCATCACATGTAATGTGGGACCAAAAATATGTTTCTTGCAAAATTCTGATTAGGATTGAATGAGATATTATATTTAGAGTGCTTATCATAACTCCTGCCATCTACAGATAGTTGATAAATGGTGGTCTTGTGTTTGTGGTTATTGCCATAGCATAAGAACAACTAATTTGATACTTTTATTTTCTTTTCTGACTTTAGTTTCCTCATGTGTCCAACGGTAATCATACTTTTTACTTCATTGATGGTTATGAAGGTCAAATGGGATAATAGCTTTAAAAGTACTTTATAAAATGTAAAGTGTTGTTACACAAAATAAAGTAACAGTTAAAACTAATTTGTTTTTATTGTAGAGAGTGGAATACTGGCTAGAGACTAAGTACTCTTTTAAAATGTTACTGAACTGTAGTTCTATAAGTTACAAAACAATCTCTCTAAATTTCCTGCCTCACTTCATTTTCATTTTCTAGTATTTGACTAACAGGACCTCTTTGGTTTTCTTTTCTTCTCACTGTGTGGGAGACCTAATCAGTATTGAAGCAGGTTCTGCCAGTTAATTGAAGGAAGCACTTGTCTCTTTTTATGATTGTGTACAGAACCACAGGCTCTGTTTTATCAGTTTAAACAGATTTGCTACATGACTGCATCTTTAAAAATGCCAAGTGAATTTAGACTTTTAGAAAAAATTGAGGTCCATGAGAAAGTTTATTTCTTCCTGTTAAGCTTTTTTATCAAGTCTGCATATTTCACTTTTTGTCCTATTTCTGATGTTTCTGTCAAACTTGGTTTGGTCCTTTAAATCCTTCTCAGATTTATTCTTATTTCTAGTATAGGTATCTGTGTAATCACACTAAGTCTGGAAATTTCAACTTGACAAAATTCTGCCCTGAAAAACTATAGCCCTAGTTATTTTTGAGAACTATTTTTTCCTCTCAGAATTTAATAGCACAATTTAGTGTCCTTTAAAGTTTTCTTAAATTTCAAACATTGTATAGCAAAAAGCCAACAGATGCCATATTTATACTTGTTTTGGGGTGAGAACATTCTCAGAAACTTGATAGTAGCTTTAAAATAATCATTTGTTAGTAATGTCCTTCCAGAAGCCTCAAGATACCACACACCATGGTTTTCATTTTCCAGGTTTCAGATACTTTCCTTTTCAATATATGTGTAAATGAGGCATAAAATCACAAGGTTTTGACTTTACTTCCTTGACCATTATTGAATACGTGTCTTTGGAGTTACTAGGATGTGTTCCTATGCTTTTGCTGTTTAGTAGGAGGTCTTGCATTGGTCAAAATTTCACACCTTCCCTAAGTACTAAGTCCAAAGATGTGGACCATGGAGATTGTCAAGTGTGAATTCCAAGCTGCTTAGCAAAAAATTTAATCAAGACCTTTTGATCTTGGAGGTCATAGTTAAGAGCATGGACTTTCTAGTTAGATAAAAATAGGTTCAAAATCTAGTGTTAGGTTTTAAAAGCTGGCTGACTTCATGCAAGTCACTTAACTTTTCTTGTTTTCTGTTTCACTTTCTATGAAATAAGAACAGTAATGCCTATTTTATGAGGTAAATTTATTATAAAATTACATAAGACTGTTAATAGTAGTGCTATTATTATTACCATGGTTGTTTATAGTGTATGGAAGTCTCAAATCTGTCATACATCTAAAACTAATATAATGAAAATAACCCAGACAAATAAATAAGTAATGCAAACCGCCCCCTACAAAAATGAAACAGAAAACAATGGTCAAGTGAGATTCCTCTATATTCTTGAGTGGTTCTAAAATACATCATTTCCCACATGACATTTATTCAGTTAAGGATGCTTTTAGCCCCAAGTAACAGGAATCCCAACTGTTCTGGCTTATAAAAACAGAGGCTTATTTGTTTATTTTTTCACAAAACAATCCAAAGGTACAGTTGTTGGCCTTGGTTTAGAAGCTTAATTATGTCAGAATTAATATCTCCAAAAATCTCTTGTATTTTTCTTCATAGTTGCAAGAATGTTACTGTAGCCCCAGATGTGATATAGATGCAAAATTTCTTAACAAAATGCTACTAGGATGAATCAAGTAATATATAAGAAGGAGAAAACGTCATGACTAAGTGGTATATACATACATATACAGTGATAATCAAGAGAATTAACCTTATTAAATGTTTTTTAAAACAGTATAAGAAAATCTATACTATTATTTTAATTGGTATGGGAAAAGCATCTGATGCAATTAAACATTCACTTCCCAGGAAATAAAGGAGAATTTCCTCAACCAATAAAATGACATCCATGAAAATCTATTTAATGGTAAAGCACTGAATGCTCTTCTCCTACACTAAGAGTAAGGCAAGGATGTTCATTCTTACCATTCCTATAAAATATTGTAATGGTGTCCTAGCCCATGCAGTGATGGAAGAAACAGAAATAAAAGGTATATAGATTGGGAAGAAGAAATAAATTGTCCCTCTTCACCGATGATATAATTCTTTGCATATGAAGTCCTGAGAAATCAACTGAAAAGCTGCTAGGGTCAGTGAATTTACAAAGATCGTAAGATACAAAGTCATATTAAAAAATCAGTTGAATTTCTGTACACTGGTAATGAACAGTTAGAAAAGCAATGCCATTTACAATAGTATCAATACATAAAATACTTGGAGATTAACTTAACAAAATATGTATCCAAGAAAAATGAAAATATATATCCACATAAAGAAGCATATTCATAAGCATCCTAAACTAGAAACATTCAAATGTTCATCAGCAGATGAGTAGGTAAACAAATTGTGATATAACCAAACAATGTAATGCTGGCAATAAGAAGGAATGGACTAGCGATACACTCAACATCATGGATGAAGCTTATAGGCATTATGCTAAGTAAAAGAAGTCACGTACAACAGAGCACATACTACATAGATCTTTATTTGCAAAAGACAAGTTGGCCATTGCTTTGGGTGAGGCGTCTGAAGAGTACTGACTGTAAAGTGGTACAAGAAAACTTCGGGGAGGGGTGATAGAAATTTCTATATCTTGATTATGGTTGTATTTGTCAAAATTTGTTCAAGAATGGACTTCACATGGGCACGTTTTTCTGTGTGTAAACTCTACTTCAATAAGACTGATGTTAAAAAAAGAAACGTTAACCTTTCTTGTCACATTTATTCACAGAAAATGTTCTAGGTAGAAAGGGCAGGGGTAGTGGTGCATTATTGACTAGAAATGATACAACTGTCCTCAAAATGTAGGGTGTTAATGCTGGGCCTATATGCTAATCAGAACCTGTTGAGCCTCTTAGAGGGGAAAAACACTGAGCAGCAAAATTCTAAAGTGAGTGAAAATATGTCCAATTTACAATCAAATATAAATGCTGTGGGCATAGAGCCAAAGAATATTCTTAGATTGGACTTTGTTGAGCAGTCTAAATTTAACCAGCTGAAATTTTTTAAGGACATTTTTATTCAACATTTTGAAGTATTTACTTTCCATTCGAAAAACTACACTTCCTCTGAAAGACAGAAGAAAGTACTTTTTTTTTTGTAATACAGAATGGGATAGTTTATTATAGGTTTAATATATAGTGCTCCCAAAATGCAAGCATGTTCTGTCCCCTTGTCCCAATCCCCAACCTTGGGACAAATTTGAGGCAAGGCTGGTGAAAAGGTAGAGAATCTAAGTTGAGCTGCTGTACTTACAGAAGCAACATTGTTAATCTCCACCTGTGAATAGAGATAGATGTATATCAAATTGACAGAACAAAGAAAGAGCTTTGTAAATGATATAACATTATAATTGTTGATAGTGAACAAATACATATGATATGGGAAATTTCCCAGCAGTATAATAAATACTCCATAATACATCTTATGTATTAATAAGACTGAAAGTTTCTCTTTTTTTTATTTTTCAAAAAAACCTTTTATTTTTCCAAATAAGTGAAATATATATTTAAAAGGCATGAACTTCTCTATGTGCTGTCTCAACACATTCTGTTGTGTGCATTGGTTCATGGATTATCTATGACAATGAAAATTCTTTTCACGATAGCACTTCACATAATAAAGCAGAGTATTGAACTTGTTTTAACAAATTTGGAGAAGCAGTTTAGTTCCTTTATCCAGAGATGTTTTTGCCTTTAGGGAATTGAAAATTATATCCAAGATACTAATTTCCTCATAAAGAGATTTGGAGGGATTGTTTTTCCCATAGAGCCAATATTCCAATTAATTCATCCAAAGAAAGAGATTTCTCATGTTGAGCCAAACTCAAAGCACCAGAGTATGATATCATGAATTTTAAAAAGGAAAGCACTCTGCCAGATACTTGAGGTTCCAATGCACACGCTCAATGATCCACAATTAGACTGATTGACTACATGATTTGTCAGAGTCTTTCCACTAGGTAAACATCTTTCAGCATTGAAATCTTACTGTTTCTTTGCTTAAAAATGTTTAGGGCAACACTAAATGAAATTCTCATTGTTTACTATAACCAACCTTTTTGAAAAGGCTTCTAATTATTCTTAGCTTCAAAACAGTGCTGAGAAATACAAGATAAAATGAAAACTCGATAATGCAGAAGACCCACCAATTCATATCCTTCTAAACCCGTTTACTCACATGGATTTGATATTGGGTTGTGTATAGTTCCCATTGATGCAACCAGACAGGTTATTGGTCTGAGTGTGGCTCTGTTGTGTAGAAGGCTCTGGATGGAGAACTATTGAAGCACTGGGACAGCACATGTTACTGGGTGAAGTGGAGCGAGTACCCAGGCATCTAAATTAGAGGAATAGAAAGTAATAAAAAATGAAGGCAATTGTCGTTCCCACTTGATCCATTGAGTATTTTCCCACCTTGTTTTCCAGATAGAAGTTGAAATATGAAGCTGTCTGGCTCAAAAGTTGGCATCTGGGGATACTAGTGACACAGTGCCTAGGGGAAAAGTCTGCTGTACAACTCAAGTGATATTAAATGGTAAGTAGTAAAGTAACTTATTTCCAAAACAAGAACGAACAGTTTAATTAGAAGTTTGTGAGACATGTTTTCAAGAGGCTGTCATGTCACAAGACAAAAGCAGAATCCATGTCTGTTCACAAATACTCAGAAATATAAGATTTTCTACCAGAACGCACTGAAGTGAGAAATACATATTGCTCTTGTAGATGGTTCTCAAAACATATTTCATGGAAGAATTGTAATGCAACCAACCAACAGAGTTTTCAGCCTAAAGGGAGGTTTGCATGGCTGTATAGTCTGCCTAAACATTAATGCACTTTTAGATGGTGCATATTGTTTTGAAATTGATTAATATACAGTAGATGTAACAGAAGGCACCTCTTTAGTGATGTATTTGAACTTCAAGGTAATATTCTGAGTTTTTAGGAAATTGTGTGGGTGGAAAAAACTGTTATTAGGAGCTGAGTGTGGATAATTATTGGTCTGGGTATTTTACATAGTTGGTCTCTTTTAGTGGACTCAGGATACAATGCATAGATATTTAATGATACTTGCATTTAGGGTATAAAATTTGATCTACACTCTTTCATTAAGACAGGTTGTAACTGGAAGAAGGCATTTTTGAGCCGACTGCATGTTTTAAAGAATCATTTCATTTAAGTCTTGTGACAAACTTGGAGATGTTTCGTTTGGAGCAAAAATATAGGGCTACAATGCTCATACCTTTTTTTTTTTTTTTTACAAATTTTTAAATCATTTGAAGCTTCACGTATTCAATGTAATGAACAAATGGTAGCCCAAATGCCAATAATATTGATAGAATTCTAAGAATTTATCAATCAGAACTGTATCCTTGACTGCACAGTTGAGTGAATGAAAAAATTAACCAATATATTCCTGGATTCCTCTATCTGAAAAGGGGGCAGTATTCAATAGTATTAAACAAATGAAAAAAATCTGGCTAAAATGACTTTGATGGAAGTTGGTAGAGGGGCACTTTTTATGTCAGACTTAACTAAGAAAGTTTTTTCTCCTAGTGAAAGCCAGAGTGGTATAAAATCTCTCTCATAAGAGTCAAATACTTCATAGAACATTCAGAACAGAAAAAAGAATGGAAAGTTATAGAAACACACAGCTAGAGAGATATCCTGAGCAATGAAGTCTGGAATTTTACAAAGTTTACTAGAGGTATAGGGGACTTCCTAAAATATTTACAATTAAGCATAGATGTAAGTTATGGAAAGTGCTCTGGAGGATTTGCTTCCTGATATTGAACTGTGAGTTAATTTCATAGGGAGAGAATGAGAATTCTCTCAGTATTAATGAAATTTTCTTGAGAAAGTATGCTTGCACACATACAATATTAGGTAACTTTGTTATAGTAACACATAGCCTTTAAATTTCAGTGGTCTAACACAGTAAATATTCATTTTTTTGTTGACAAGTCTGCAGATTGGCTGCAATTCTATTTGGTCATGATCCTCTCTGTTCTATATGTCTTCTCATTCTTGACCCCAGGTTGACCAGAGTAGTTTCGATCTGAACTATATTGTTATCATTCTCAAGGCCAAGGGCAGGGAAAAAAAAGAAAACTGAGCTCTCTTAATGCTTCTATTTGGATATGGCATGTGTCATGTCTGCCCACATTCCAATCCAAGGGAAGTTGCATGGTCAGGCCCGAAAATGAGGTAGGGAAGTATCCTCCACTTACTCTGAAACATAGCAATTCACATGGCAAACGACACATACATCTCACGGTTAAGGATTAAACAGAGAGTTGGAGAATTTTAATACAATCTACCTTAGATACATATGCTATGTGTATATTAACTCTCCAGTAAAGTGTATCTTCCTCATTACACCATGCAGTTTTAGTTATTCAAAATAGTTGATTTCTTTTTCTTATAAATCCCCAGTTAAGAACCCTGTCATGTATTTAGCTATCTGCACTAATACAATAATTTTTGTGTTCAGACTAGATAAATTGGGTCCCTTTGAGAAGATTTAAGAAAATCTAGGTATGAGAGAATACATGTAGAGATTATGTTAAAAAGGGAATTAAAAATGGGTTTAATAAACGAAGTTGAAATTTCAGAATCCTGTTAAATTTGTTGTAATACAATCAGCAACATAATGTAGAATTCATCTAAATTCTAGAAATTTCCCACAAATAAATTTCCAGAGGCCTGATATTATTTTAATAACCTTTACTAACCTTTTTAACCTAGAGAATAAGCAGGATATGAGAGCCAAACAGGAAAATTTAAATGTCAAAGACATGATTAAGGCAATAAACATATATTGAAAAGGGAAAAAAAATAATAAAACATGAGTTCATTTTTTTCTTTTTAAACTTTATTGTTGAAACCACCACCTGACAACTTCAAGGGCAATTGCTTTAAGGGTTTCTATATTGAGAAGGACAATTTTATTCCTATGAAATTTCTATTTTCCCAGGTCAGGGATGTGCCCTTTAGTGGAGATACCAGTCCTTTCGTGGCCTGGTGGCATGAATCTCCTTTGCACTCTCTGGCCCTTCCTGACACTTTCAGAGTAACATGGAAGAATATTGGCACCGTGGTCATGGAGCTGACTGGCAGGCAGTGTGGCAGGAATAGAGAAATTACATGGGGTGGTCGCCACCTTTGTGAAACCATGCAGAACCCAACGGGCCCCCCCTTCCTCTTTTTTGTAGTAAAACTGAAGTCTCCCAGGCCTCCCTGAGTCACAAAAGAGTAGGCTCAAGCAGTTAATGATTAAGACAGTAGAGTCACAGATTCAGGGTCTGATGCACATTCCTGATCATTTTACAGACACTATAACTGACACCGGAGGGAAAAAGCTGACTGCATGATGACTAGACTATAGCCATGATAAAAGGTGCTCCATCTGGAGCAGTACTGAATCAGTGGCTAGCACAATTCTAAGAACTGGCCTCAAGTGAATGGGATTAACATTATCACTCATAATAATCCATACCTTTGCTTGCTCTGCCCATACTATGTGAGCAGGCATCTGAATTTGTCAGCAAAGAGATGCTGCAGACCCATTTTGGCATCTTCCAGTCTAAGAATATGGTCCTTATGTCAGCATGAAGAAGTTACAGAAGATGGAACTTCACCCCTAATCCTACAGAAATGGAATGATATCTGAAAAGTGAGGTTTTGTAAGCAGCTCTTTTACCCCTTTCCTGTTTTGTCTATTTCTGTTCCCCTTAAACGTTAAGTATAAAAATGAGATCACTAGGTAACATTTAACCTAACTCCTGACTTCTCTACTGAATGTATACAATACCTTGCCTAACCTGTTGATTCCTTTCCTGGATTAAAAGGAATAGGAATGAAGAATTAAGTAGTTAAAGAATGACTGACTCCTTACCCCAGCTTAGCAAATTTGCAGCTAGGACCATACGGGCAGGATAGCATCAAATTGCGAGCAGACCACACCAGCAAGATAGCATCCAAAGGAAGATCAGAAGTTAGCAGGTCTTGGGGGAGGGTATAGCTGAGTGGTAGACTGTGTGCTTAGCATGCACAAGGTCCTGGGTTCAATCCCCAGCCCCTCTGTTTAAAAATAAACAAATAAAAATACTATATTTCAATAAAATAAATAAATAAAAATAAAAAACCCTAATACCTCCCCCCAAAAAGACAACAACAAAATTTTTTTTAAGTTAGAAAAAGTCAATAGGTCTGTATGTAATAGAAAAATGATAAAGAATCTAAACTCATACTTTAAGGATTAACTGAGGCTGTTGACCCTTTTTCCCTTTAAAAATTGTCACGGCTGGGCAAATCTTTGGAGTTGGACTTGGGATATGAATCCACATTCTCCTCAGATTGCCAGCTTTCTGATTAAAGCAACTTTCCTTTCTACCAACATTTGCCTCTCAATTATTGCCTTTTGAGTGGTGAGCAGCCAAACCTGAGTTGGGTAACATTTATAGAGAATCAAGTTGATATGTGAAATGCACTGTGATAGAGAGCATGAAGTGCTGAGATTCACAAATTACATATTGACTGCAAAGTGTGAACGTAAATAGAGAATATTTGCCTGAAAAAGCTGTTTATCCATCTTCCATCTGGGTGGCATTTGAAAAATATTACATCAAAAATATATGTTTAAGAATGTAAACCAATCAAAGCATGCATATAGGAGGTGGCTTTTTTTTCCCTGCAGAACTGGGCTTTTATCTGGTATCTTTTCCCTGCAGCCTGAATAAATTCTTTCATCGCATTTTGTCCTGCAGATCTGCTAGAGATATATTATCTCCATTTTTGTCTCTCTGAAAAATATTCTTTATTTTTTGCCTTTACTTTGAAGATGTTTTTGCTAGTGTGGAATTACATTTGGCTAGGTCCCCCCCCCCGCCCCTTTTCTGCTCTTTAAACTGGTTCTTTAATTGTTTTTTGGCTTCAGTTGCTTGTCTTGAGAAGTCAGCCATTGTTTTTATTGCTGCTACTCTCTACATAGTATGACTCTTCACACTTTAGCTAAAAGTTTTCCTCTTTATCTTTGATTTTCAGCATTTTGGCTGACATGTTTGTGTGTGATTTGAGTTTTAGCCTATGTGTCTTGCTTGGGATTCATGACAGTTTTAGTCTGTGGTTTCCGTTTTTTTGGGAACAATTTTGGAAATTCTCAGCCATTAGCTCTTCATGTATTTCCTCTGCTTTATTCTCTTTCCCCTCTTCTCCGGGGGCTATAGCTCTGCGTATGTTGAGACCATTAGGTAGGGTCTTCCTGCTCTCAGATGTGGTGCTTGTTTTCCCACTCTTTATCACGTTGGTTTTTAATTTGTATAATTTCTGTTGAAGTGAATGAACTTTCACTGACTCTTTCTCCTAACATTTCCAGTCTTCTCTGACGTCCCTTGAATTCCTGTGTCGTATTTTTCATTCCTAGCATTTCCACTTGATTTTATTCTTGGTGCCTCAGTTTCCCTAATTATGTAATTAGGTTGAATTAGATGATTGTCCGTAACTTTCTCAATTCTTAGTGTACTATGGTTTAAACTC